AAAACAAAAACAAGTCATATTTTTTGGTAAATCTTAACTAAGAAATATACAAAAACATATTAAAAATATATTTTTTTTATGGGAGTTAAACTTTTCTGACACTGTATGGTAGTCAGGAATATCCGCTTTACAAATTATACTAAACCCAGTCATTCTTTGTTCCTTCATCAAAAGGCATCCCTCATGTGAACAAAACTTCAGAGCAAGTATGAAGTAAATAATGAAACACAAAATGAACAGCCACCACGAATACTCAAATAACAAAATAAGGTATTCATTTCAACACAAATCTTTACAAAAAAAATGACAGAGACAATTATGATTAAAATGAAGAAAAAAATTATAACTCAATCTAAAAAACATCTAAATGAAGAGCCTTAATTTTAGACATTTCTACATTTAACTAAACATCCAGGAAACAAAAGTAAACAAATCCCATCTGAATGTACAATAGTAACACAAGTAAGACCTTTTTGAGGTACAAATATTTCCTTTCAGTGATATTCTTTTCACTGTTTTTTTGTCAACATTTGATATCTTTTAAAAAAACCTTTATGGAACCACATTCCTCCTTCATTTCACCATCATGTATTATTAACTTACAGAAAAAACTTTATAAAACTCTTTACAGTCATATTTTCTCTTTCACCAAGTACACAGCTATCATTAAGAACAATAATATTACAGGAAGTAATACTGTAAATAAGATCTCTTATTTTCATTCAGCTCTATAATTTGAACATTTTTACTGTCAAATAAAACATTACTTAAATGTGAATCAGAACTTTTTTACAGTGCGCTCTGAGATATATTATTTTTCTAAAATCTAATGTATATATGTACAAAGAGTGTTTGAGTCAGGTGAAACATTACTTTAATCAAAATTTTTTTATTTTGGGTTTCTTTTTTGGATATTCACACAAAACTACTCAAGAGCTATCTGCATTAACCATCCCTAATTTTGAGATGATAGACTAAAGGGATGGAACCTAGTCAACAGAATTAAATAGTAGTACTTGACCATCACCCCTTTAATGCATCCATTGCCCCAAAGTGCAGAGCACAAATAATTTTTTATTGCAGTAATGGGACACAAATGATGGACCAACAAATCCATAGTCCAGCATGCTATCCACTGTGCCAAGCTCAGCCCTCTTACATTGAAAACCTGTGTAAAAAAGTAACTGAAACATTAACTAAAATCTGAGCTTCTTCCACTAGCACTGATTTCAACATGAATTATGAAACCACAGACAGGGCAATATTTTACATTACTTTTGTAATAGCTGTTTCACATAAATATGGCCAAATATGTTTTTCTCATAGAGGTTAGGTATAAAGAAAATTATCACGTACACACGTTGTTAAGTCTGATGATTTTCATTATCCTTAGGGATGTATAGATGGGTGTCTCATATGCTGTTTACTTTCTGATTTTCACAAATGTTATTACTTTCTGAATAAAGTACCAGTTATAGTCAGTGCTCAAAATGGATAAAATAACTAATGGTATGGAAAATCAGCATAACTGGACAGTGGTAAAGATGTAGCCTATTTCAAAATGTTCAGTGTAATTATTAAACTTCATGACATATAATGTTTTTCCATAGTAGTAATGAGTGTAACCTATAATGTAAGCTTCTTAATGGTGACTGACAAACATTAATACCAGTGTAACATTGGTAGTTTAGTAGGGATAAATGGAAGAAAGAGAGAGAGAGCAGCATGTGTGGAAGAGTAAGTAGGGTAAGAAGTTAATTTTCATAGCAAGTGCTACAATTGTCTTAATAAAAAAACCTCAAATATGACCAATTAAAAAAACACACTGATCAAAGAGCTATCAGAAATTATTTCATGTGAAGATGAAAGATGCAACTTCCTAAGGAGTTCAGTCAATTTTTCATTAGGGGAATTGTTTGTTTTTTAATTATTTAATCACTTTAGTTATAAGTTGAGGTAAAAGTGTTAAATATTTAAAGACAGATTAGACAAGAAAATGATATGCATTTTGATGGTAAAACAGGATATTTAAAGAGTAAAATTACCTGCTTGAAACCTATCAATTATTTTCTTTTGAAACACAAGTAATGAACCTACAAGTTCATAAAGGCTTTTCCTAATTACCAGAGAAATAAACATGAAAAAGTAATTTTGTTTACCACTTAATATTTAAACTGTTAATAATTTGTGATAAAAGCTTGAAATATATAAGAATTTTTTAATTTCCAAAACCTGAACAAACCATAATTTCTCAAAACACAGCTATAACTGTGATAAATGTGTATTTTCCAGTTGGAATGAATCCATGGCCTTGTCACAAAATCCTGTATTATTCTCTGTCATGGAAGCACATACTCTACACTTTCTGGCTATTAACTCATTATATACTTATCATAAAAACAGGTAGGAGGGTTTTTCTTTTCTATTTTTAGAACAAATAATGAAACAAAAATTCAAGATTTATCACCTGGTTTGGGAGGCAGCTTTGGAGCATCTGAGTCTGTTGATAATTCCAGCTTCTTTTGGAAAGAAGGATTCTAAAAGTAGTGGAACATGCTCACAATAAAAACTAGTTTCTTCTTCAATAAAAAAAACAGCCTACCAAATAAAACTATCTTACTTCATTTTACAAAGAAATATAATACTAAATTAAACTGTTAATCATGTAATCAACAGCGACTATGCTAAAAACTCAGCACTTTAACATATTCTGGCTATTAACAATTAAGACTTTTATTTCCCATATCATCTTCAATTTATTTTAAGCATCATTTTTCAAGTTCTCTAGCAGCAACTTCTACTTTTGTTGTAAAATAAATCAACATTGGAAAAATAAAAAAATAAGGAGCTACTAAACCCTTCTGCCATACTGAACAGTTTATGATGATTCATAATTGTTACATACATTTTTTCCTAATATTTCAAACATATTTATACACACTTTTACAGAACAGAAAATGTTATAACAAATTTTTACATGAACAATTAGCCATACAAAATACAATTAAAAAAATACTATTCCAATGGAGGTTTTTTGTACGATACATAATAACTGCAAGATAACTTATAACTTATACCATTAGAGTAAAAATTTAAAAGAAAAAGTGCCAACTTACTCTTTTAGCTGGACATGTGGGTTTTAAGTTTACTACACCATCTTTGAAAATGTTGCCATACCCAATTCCATGTATAGGCTTAGGCTTGACTTCTTCTTGTGTAGGAGAATTTGGTAGAGAATTCTCTGAAAAGTTAAGAAAAAAACCGCAACAAGTGAAAAATACAATACTAATAAATGTGCTCATGAGCAAACCAATACTAATATATGTCAGTTATATAATAATATAACAGTCATATAATAATTTAACTGTTTTTAACTGAATTAAGATACAATAATCTGCTATAAAAGTTATATGTTAAGCAAGTTGTAATGAAAACTTTAATCAGGATAAATTTATATAAATGAATTGCATAGAGTTTGGCCATTATAGTGCCAATAAATATTTAAATATTTATTTAGTGACTTCTTTGGTCTGTTGATGATCTTTTGTTTTTAATGGTGGTATATTCCCTATAATATCTACTGTTTTATGATTCCAAATATAAAACGTTTTACAACAAATATATTACATGTGTGTTTTTCTTCACATATTACATTACAAATAACTTTGAAAATGATTTAAATGAGACTACAAAAAGAAATAAACAACTAATGTTTCATATGGAGTTGACCGAGGCTGGTTGAGATGTGTTCCAACCAGTCCTGAAATATTGAGCAGCAGGAGAAAAAAAACAAAAAACTGGCCAACAGAAAAAATTCACACTGAGCAGTAGGAAGAAATGCACACTAGCAAGTAGGAAGAATTCCATACTACCAAGTAAAAAAACATTATGCAGTAAGAAGAAGATCACACTAGCCAATAGGACAAAATTACCATTGGTCAGTAAGTAAAAGTTCACATTGGGCATTAGGCTGTGGGAAAAAGTTCATGCAAAATGTTTACAATGAAAAGAAAAACACTCAAATAACTTAGGTTTTTGTCAAAAAAAAAAGATACAGACATTAATTTCAAGAACTTATTGGATTGTACAGCTAAAGAATGAGTCTTCACAGTTGAAGAGGACAGTTATTTTCTTCTTGTCATTTGGTGACAGTATAAACTAAAATTCTTGATTAAAATCCTCAGATTAGAACTGGTGAACTGAAAAACACAAAGTATGAGATTCTTGTGAAGATATATATCAATTGAGGATATAAAGTGATTTATAAAGTTCCTTTTCATTAAAAGTCCAGAGAATTTAAGTATTTCAAACTTCATTATGCTCTCAAAAGCTGCAAAAAAGTTCAATTTTGAATATTATAATAACTTATAAAACTAGAACTAGGTATAGTTGGGATATGTTAAAAGCAAACATTTGTTGAAAAAAGAGAAAACATTAAATCTTGATAAAAAATTATGTAAAGCAAGACTGAATGAAAATTTTTCTTAAAAAATATATTTACTAAGGTGACGTATCAAGAGGTCACTTCCTTATCTATAAACTGTTCAGAATATCTCAACTGCTACTGTGTTTTGTTTGTTTGTTTATTAATATATAGCAAAGCCACGTTGGGCTATCTGCTGTGTCTAACAAGGGGAATCAAACCCCTGATTTTGGCATTGTAAATCCATAGACTTACCGCTGTCACACTGGAGGACCTGATACTGTGAATAGAGAGAATTACCAACTATTTTTGAAACACATATAACAATAAAGGAACAGATAAGAGCCAATGATGTATTGAACATAAAATTAGAGATAAATGTAAACAAAAGCTACTAAAGAGTAGATGGAGGTAAACAGAAAAAATAACTTATTAAAAGTCACAAGATATAAACTGAAAATGGAAACATTGATATTAAAATTACAGAACAGCTATTACAAAGTACAGTATAAAGACAAAAAAAAAAGGTTCAATCATTCTACATCTATGTGGTTGTGCATATAAACAACTTTTCTTTTAAGTCATCATCTATTTTGGTTGCTGGTCAGTGCATTTTTGATAATATTTCAGAAGTCATTGAGAGTGTTCTCCACTGCTTAAGTGTTATCTTGTCAGTTGGTCAGTGTTATGTTGTTTAATGTAACAATAATAAAGTTCTTGTGACTGTCTATAGATTAACCCTCATCTGTTACATGCATAGATATCCACATTTCAGAAATATTACAAAATAGATTAAACACTAGAGTCTGTGAGTAAAATGCTATCTCATTGTAGAGGTAGTTTTATAGCCTTTAATCTTACATTGCATTGTTAATGTAGTTGTGTGTGCTGCCTAAGTCCACCTAGACAAAAAAAAGGAAATTTATTTTGCTATAAACAACAAGCAAATGTGGGTCACTGTGAGCAAAACATGACATTTTTTTCTGGTGTCTCCCTCTCTGTTATATACATTAAATTTTGTAATTACAATAAAAATAATTCTTCATTTTATTATCATGATGTAATGGCACATCAAATACTAATGCAGATTGGGTGGGCCCAATTTACTGATTTATGCTTTATGATGATGCTTTTATTTTTCACATATGATTTAAATCACTAATACAATTTTAATTCAATTAATAAGTTAATAAGGGTTAACACCATCCAGAGACTTTTCAATTTTCAACATTGCTAAAATTGTAAACAATAATATAGAATTAAAATATTAGCACAAATTACTGCTTTAAATAATAAAAACTCAGTGGTATATTACTCATAACATTAGTATTTATAATTTGGCAGTTCAAGGAACATTAGTGTTTTGCTGGGAGTTTTAAACATTAAAAAAGGGAAAGACATTCAAGTACAACATCAAGGTGGCAGGATGTTGTCATGGAGTATTTCAACATCAAATTGACTTAAAACAATAAAATATGGTAATAGGTATATAATGATAATTTCCTGGTGAAGGAGTGGGAGATATTGTCAATACTAATGGCATTATGAAGAATAAGCACTATCACAACATTGTGACTCATTAGACTTCCACTAAGATAAACCTATAACCTGAGCTCTTTCAAAAGGTGGACCTTTCTTCTTATCCCTGAAGAAGAAAGGCCCATCCTTCGAAAGCACTCGGGTTATAAGGTATCATATCTTTGTGTTAAATTCCTTTCTTGAATCTACATGTTTTTCTAACTCATGAATGCACTTATACTTAGTAGATCATAACTGGCTGGCTTTGATGTCAACAGCATAATGATCAAAAAATATATTGCCCAAATGAACAAAAGATACTTAGAGGCAAAGAAAAAGTGTTAATGATATACGAGTAATGAGCTGGTCAGTCCAAAGCCTCAATGGTATTCCAAATGAAAATTTGTGTCATCAGTTTAAATGTAATGTTGCAATAAGAAGCCAACTAATCTATAGCAATTATGGGCATTATGTAGCAAAAATTGAGAGAAATACGAGTTGGCGGTGTCAAAAAATAATAGCATCCATTCCTGATCAATGCTGTCACATAATTAAATTCAGAGGAAGGCATATTAAATAAAAAGGGTTAATTGCACTTTATTTGCATGATTTTTATCTACTAATACAGTGGCATATCACTGCACATGAAAGATGCCAAGGACAACAGGATGAGCACCATTTTTTTGGTAATTCATTCCTCATTCATTTTGCCTTCCTCTGATGCCTTGCAGCATTGATGGAAGACAGGGAGTGGTTTCTTGCTTGCTTGTTCGTCTCCTCTATCATAATGTTCCTGAGGATGCTAAAGACAGTTTCAAGCTACAGTCTGCATGGTCATCATTTTGCTTCCTATCCATTTATTGAATGCTCCTTGTGGCAGAGAATTTGGATGTTATTTAATTAGGTGTCTGAACCACTTGACTTGTTGTCTCTTGATGTACCTTTTTGGTGAATGGCAAAATCCTGGTTTTTCACAATGCAACACCACCATGGTAGACTTATGACTTGAAGGATATAAAAAGAATTTCCAACAGAAAAGACTCATAAAGCAAGAATGATAATGAACAGCCAAAGGAAACTACATATCAAATAAAATTGCCTTCTTTGTTTTCAAATGGAATAGAAACACTTATACAGCAGAGCATTTAGGACAATAATTGGCTCCCAAACCATATTCAAAGTCAATTCAGAACAATAACTTCATGTACAAAGTTCAATGAAATCTATGGTAATAAAAGAAACCCCTCAACCCAAAAAAGGGTCACTTCAACAAAGCTGGGCATATCTCCTGGTACCATTATTTGTTTTTGGATGTTCACACAAAGCTACTCATTGGCTATCTACGCTAACTCTCCATAATTTTGAACTTTTTAACTAGAAGAAAGGCCGCTAGTCAACCACACCCACTGTGAACTCTTGTTTTGTATAGCAGTGTGATTTGACAGTCAACCTTATAATGCACCAACAGACCCAAAGTGCAAAGCACGATTGTTATTATGTCTTTGCTATAATGTAACCTACTGATACATAGTCCAGCATGAGCCACACTCACTTCTGGTACAATTAACAAGATATTAAACAAATATTTCAAGTTGATGAAGGCTCACAAGCTTCCAGCTATACCTCTAAATTAACTCTTTTCATAAAAGAAATTGGTAAAAAAAAACTGGAACTAAGCCTTTTCAACAACTATATGTAATAAATGTGTGTAATAAATTATAGACCTGATTTACATTCATTTATATATAACATTTTTACATTTCGTTTTGGTGATTTTCTTTGCCTATTCAAGCAGTTACTTAGGCCAAACCGGCTTAATACAAAGCTTAATACCATAGCAGCCTGGGTGAAATTAAACTTTATAAAACTGAGTACAAAATGATTAAACTAAGATTACCTCACCTTGTTCCACAAAAAAAGTTTCTTTTCCTATCGTACTTCAACATCATAACTCATATGAAGTATAAAATTATAATGCAAGCTTTAAAAAAAATCATGACTTTAATTGCTGTTCACAGATATCTTTTCTTCTAGCAACATATTACCAAGCTACATTTTATCTTTTTTTTTTCCAAGCTATATGTAATTTTCAACTAAACTAGAATTCTTAACAGAATGGAAAAAAAAAAGTTTCCCAAATGTGTTTGGATATATACAAGCACATCATACCATGACAACTGAAGACTATTAAACCTTTTCTTATAATAACTATTATTTTCCCTAGGAAATTACAACTACCATACTACACCAAGAAAAATGTTTTGAACCATCCTTCATTTAACAAGAAAGACATCTTCAGG